GGCTTTAGCTTTCCTAACCTGATCCCTGGCTGCTCGGACAATTTCTCTGTATTCCTCCCAGGCTACCTGTCCTTGCTTTCACCCTCTGTAGGCTTCCTTTTTGTGATTGAGTTTGTCCAGGAGCTCCTTGTTCATCCATGCAGGCCTCCTGGTGTTTTTGCCAGACTTCCTCTTTGTTGGGATGCATCGCTCCTGAGCTTAGAGGAGGTGATCCTTGAATATTACCCAGCTTTCTTGGGTCCCTCTTCCCTCCAGGGCTTTGTCCCATGGCACTCTACCAAGCAGATCCCTGAAGAGGCCAAAATCCGCTCTCCTGAAGTCCAGGGTAGTGAGCTTGCTGTGCGTCCTCCTTGGTGCCCTAAGGATCTTTATATGGATTACTTCCAGTATTTCCGTATTTTCTGAACAGTCCCGTCCCCCCCCGCCCTATATTTTGAGTTTTTCATTTCAACTTGAATGAGAAAACAACCCAAGAAAAATAAAGAAATTTCTAGTATACATCTGTTTTGTAACCATCTTTACATCTATCTGCAGCCTTACAGCTCTTCTGTTTTTAGAATAGAATAGAATATTTTCAGTTGGAAGGGACCTATAACAATCACCTAGTCCCTATCTGTCTATAGAGGGCCTCATCTGCTCAGTCTTCCTGGTCAGGTGGCCTGTAGCAGACCCCCACTGTAATGTCACCTGTCCCTGCCTTCCCTTTAATCCTGACCCATAAGCTTTCGATTGGCTCCCCATCCATCCCGAGGCAGAGCTCCATGCACTCCAGCTGGTCATCGACATAGAGGGCAATGCCCCCTCCTAACACATCTCCATGTGTTTCTCCGAGAAAGCTTTTCTGCATATCTGTTACGTTTTGTGTGGTTTTGTTTTCTCCTAACTCTGTTATAAGATCATCACTCTGGAAAAATTTGCTAGCTTGTATGATTCCACAGTGGAAATCAGTGGATCTTGTCCATGTCAGGAAGCAGTATATTGGCTAATGTGGAAGACTTGGTCTAAAACTGTACTGTGTGTGCTGCTGTCACCTACTGTAAGATTATTGCGTTGTTCTCACAAACTGGACTCCGCAGACTAAGAGTCTGGAAGATGGTAAGGACTTCTCATTCCCAGTAATAAAAATATGGGGTGTGAAAACCACTTAGGATCTGACCCAACTGCAGGATAGTTGTTTCAGTTTCTAAGACTTATAAATGTTAAATATTATGATTATTCTTCCCAATATTTTAATGGAATGCCTTTTTATGTGTTTTGCAGAGCTTTGTTAGAAGGGGAGAGCAACCAGTGGATTATTTCATGGAGAGATCAGCATACAGGGAAATTGCCTCAAGGTAAAAAATGAGTATTGAAAAATGAATGTTGAATGAAATTAAATATAACTGGAAACTATTGTATTATAGTATTCCTGAAGAATACTTTTTATGAATGTATTGCAAAGTGAATATTGAATTGGTTTTGAGTGTTAATGTTTTAAATCAACATAGTGCTATTCTATATGAGATAATTTATAAAATCATGACTCAAATGGAGAAGGTAAGTAGGGAGTGATGTTTCATAGCTCTAATAGTGCAGGAACTTTTGGATGCTCATGGGTGTTAAGAGAGTCTTGAAGTATAAAGCAAGAGGTATTTAACAAAACATGTAGTTAAAACCATGGAATTCATCATCATGAGGCATTGTGAGTGTTAAAAAGTTCACGTGGGTTTAAAGAGAAATTTTAGCAGAGTAATGAAAGAAAAATCAAAGACTTACTAAACATAAAGATACCATTTCTATCTTAGGAGCTGCAAATCTCTGGAGGCTGTGAGAGTATACCAGGGAAGTATCACTGTTTACTTGCCCTGTTCTTATACTCTTCCCCATGTATCTACTGTTGGTCACTGTAAACAGGATAATAGATAAGATGGACCTTTGATCTGACTGCTATGGCCATTGTTACTAATAACAGAATTAGTCTCAATAACATTCCTGAGTTTAACAATGTGTGGTCTTGAAATCATCAGACTGTCATAGACAGTAGTTCCAGAAGAGATTTGAAGGCTGTTTCTGTAGTAGTAAATTAAACAGATTAGGGGTTAGGCTGAAACGCTGACATAGTTGCCTGTGCTGTTAAATTGTTAGCACTGTCCCTGGCACAGTTTTGATCTAGACTAGCCAGTCCTTTTGCAGACAATATTCAGGCATATTCAGTGGTTACCACAGACCAGTAAACACTACCAAAAGTCAGAGGAGATGTGGCTAGCTTTTTAGGGGTAAATTTGAGTTGTGCAGTGCTGGTTGGTCTTAGAGCCAGACAATGATTCCTGGTACATTTTATTAAATTGTACAGATATAGCCTAAAAGGTTCTTTAGTTCTCTCCCTTGTTGTACCTTGTTGTATTTTGTGGCTATGAAAGGTTGTATTTGTGTTTACAATTTCCAGTATGCGGTGGCAGGTACGCCAGTAATTCTCAATAGGAACTGAGAAACTTCAGGCCATTTTGACTAATGAGGCAAAAAACAAAGCCTAGGATATTAGCATACATTATTTAATAAGAAGTTGTAAATGTAAATGAACATTAATATAATACGAAAGGTGTAATTTTTAAGTAAATGCCATAATACCCAGTAGCTCACAACAGATAAAATTAGCAAGAACTTGCAACTTAGTAAAAAGCTTTGCTTTCAGTTCTAATATAATTTATGCATAGACATAATTACAAAGCTCCACTGAATATGAAACTGTAGTATAAAATTGCTTGGTTCATGCCCTCTATTTTGTATTATTTTAGATACAAGCCATTATTTTAATGTTTGGTTACCTATGCTTTTTTTGCAGATATTATAAACACTTCATATAACTACACTGATACTTACTCTACTTATCAAGAAAGAAATAGAAATAAAGCTTCACCAACTATCAGGATCACTGATACAAGACATAGAATGCCACTGACAAATACTAGCAGTTCTGCACGTTATTCAGCTCAGTCAACACAGGCTGGATCACAGAAAACAGCTAGTGGAAGAGCTTTTGGAAGAGATGTACTAGGTTCAATATATCGCCCTTCAACAACTGTTAGAAAGGACGAAAGGATTGTAACAGACCACAAAGAATTAAGAACATTTACTCCAGCCTATAGTAGCTGGAAAAACACTGAAATGCAGCAAAAGACAATTCCAGAAAGAAAGAAAACAGAAGTTACAACTTCATCCACAGTATCTTTTTCAGAAGAATCAGCACATGCTGAAAGATCAGACAAGGACCACAAGCCTGACACGAAGCCAGGGATTTCTGAAAATACAAGAACAAAACCAAGCTTCACTAGATTTCCGACTTACGAGCTGAATACCAATTTTAAACCATCTAAATATGAAGAAACCATAACTGAAACTCAGACCACACTAAAAGAAAAAAAAGGAGGCAGCAAACCAACTGAAGAGAAAAAATCTCTGCTGAAAGAAAAAGATAAGCTAGAGAAACAAACAAAGGAGGAGAAAAAGAAAACTGATGAGAAACCTTTTTCAGAAGAAAGAAGTCTTGATTTTGGAAGGAAGACTGAGCAGAAAAAATATATCCATGAGGAAGTAATTAACCAGAACTTAACAAGAAGTGATATTTCTAATGCAAGAACTTTGAAAAGCGAATCAACCAAAAAAGATACAAATGTGACCTTGGAATCAAGAAGCAAAGAAGTCATTGAGATACCTATCAGTGTTGAAATGCCTGCTCCTGACAAAGAATCTCAGAGTAATAAAGAAATAAGGTTACAAGGTTTTAAAACTTCCATAGGAAGAGAAACAGATGACCATGTAACTAAGCCTGCTGAAATTCACAAAGTGAGTATTTCAGAAGCAGAATCCAGTCTGAAAGATGAAAAGCGAATTAGTGATAGAAGTAATAAAATGGGAACTCTGTCAACTGAAAATATAGCAGAGAATATTGTTGCTGACATTCTTAAAAGTTTTACGCAGCCTTCTGGTTCACAAATATCAACAGACACAAAAGTGACCTATTTTAATAAGAAAGAACAACCAGGTGATGGGAAAATAAAGACTGAGATCACAGTGCAATCTCAAGTTCAAGAAAATATAGATATTTCTGATGAAGCTGACGTAGGAGGTCTATCAAACCAGGATGTCAGAAAAGTTGTTCAAGAGGGTGTTGAGGGAACTCCTTCCAAAGAGGAGATAGAAGATATAGTACATCATGGCCTGAAAGGAAATGAGGGCAGAAAGAACATGTCTGTTAATGTTGAGATTGTAGAGGAGCCACTAGATTATGCCACTGATGAAAGGACTGATTTTTCAACACCTTTTGAAGTAGAGGAAGTGGAAGATACATTCCCTGAGAGAGAGGCGCGTTACGGTGATGAGGAGGAACAAAACATAACGTTCACGTATGAAGACGTTAAAAAGAAGAAACAACGCCATGAGAGTTTCACTCATGTGGAAGAAGTAACTGAGGAAGATGACTCACCTATTGAGCAAAAATATTTTGTATCTGTTCCTGATGATCATCCTATTATTAATGAAAAAGACGATGACTCAGTATATGGGCAAATTCATATAGAAGAAGAATCAACTATTAAATATTCTTGGCAAGATGAATTTTTACAAGGCACACAAAGTAAGAGAGATGAAGGTGTAAGCTCTCCAGAAGAAACATATCAAGTGGTAGGGGAGGAAGCCAGTGCCCATATTTTAAAAGAGCATCCTGAAGCTGAAACATCCCATGTTGAATCCATTGTTATTGAAAAAGAAATTAAAATTCCTCATGAATTTCAGACTTCAATAAAAGGGCTTTTATCAAAGGAAACGAAGGACCCTAAACATCAGTTGAAGGAAGCTTTAGAGCAGTTGGAGAGCAGTCTCCCAGAAAGTGTGAAAGAGGAGCTGTCTGCATTAACAAAAGAAAATCAAGCTGACTCTAGTAGTTTAGAATTTGATATCAAAAAAGTTGATCAAACAGAGGAGGGTGGCTTGGTGACAATTGTTGCTGAAGTCAATCTGTCACAGACCCTTAATACTGATGAATTTGATGTAGCTCAGCTTGGTGAAATAATTGCAAGTGAGAAGGAGCGGGCAACATTGCACTCCCAGAAAGAAGAGCGCTCGGAGAGAGTTGTTGATGGTAGAAGCAATATAGAAGTAGATACTTCTTCCCACGGTGATAAATACACTCCTTTGGCTGATCAAGAAAACTATAACTCATCCACAATGAGGAGGAGTGGGGGCGCAGGGTATCATACCACTGAAAAAGTTATTTATGACGGTTCAGTTTTGGAAACTGCGGATTTTGGATTAGTCTCTCACTCACCACAATCAACTGATGAGACCAAATCCACAAGGCATATTAAGGTTGGTCCAGCAGAGGTTCAGAGATTTGAGCAGATCGTATATGAAGGGCCTGGTTCTGAAATGCTGGAGCTCAGTGCTACAGAAGATCTTGTTCAGACAGAAGGATTGTCAGAGTTTAGCCGATCTGTGAAGCATTTTAAACTGGGTCCTAAAGAAATCCAAACCACAGAAGAAGTAATTTATACAGGCCCTATTACTACAACTGTAGAAGAGATTGGTTCTGGAAATCTTTCTCAGAAGTTTTCAACAGACTTCAACAGGTCCACAAGACATGTCACAGTAGGATCAAGGCAAGTAACTGAAGAAGACTCTTTTGAAGGGCCTGTTTCAGACTCTCTGGAGCTCAATAGCTCAGGTAACCTTTCTCAGACAGAAGGGTCTGTGGATGTCAGCAGATCAATAAGGCACTTTAGATTAGGTCCAGAAGATATTCATACTGAGCAAGTTATCTTTGAAGGACCAATCTCCGGTAAAGTGAAGGTCAGTGACACTAGAGACTTCTCACAGGCAGAAAGTTCAGTCAGACACATTCAATTGGGTCCCCAAGAGTTTATGACAGCTGAAGAAATCATCTACCAGGGGCCTGTCTCTGAGCACACAGAAATCAGTGAACTGAAAGACCAGACTCTTTCAGAACGCTCAATAAAGCATGTTAGACTAGGTCAAGTGGGAGTTAAAACCACTGAACAAATCATATATCAGGGCTCCCTTTCTGAAATTCCAGAGCTCATTAACAAAGAAGGACATCTTTCAGAGAATGAAGGAAGCTCAGATACCAATAGATCTTTCAGGCACGTTAAAATAAGTCCTGCAGAAACTCATGCTGAGCAAATAATCTTTACGAGACCTGTTTCTGAAACGCTGGAAGATCCTTCACAAACAGAAGAGTCATCTGAGAGCAGTAGGTCTGTAAAGCATATTAAAGTAGGATCCAAGCAAACATCTTTTACTTTACAAATGGATGTTTCCGGTATGGGTGGAATATCTACAGTAAAAAGTGGAGAAAAGCAAGCAACAATGCTCATATCCAACAATCAAGACCCTTCTGTTAGTCAGTCACAGACTGTCGTTGAAAGTGACCAGATTGTAGAAAACGAAAATAAAAGAGGCGGCTATGTTCTCTCCAGTTTTTCTCAAGATCATGGTGAAAAGGTCGTGGAAAAGTCATTTTTTGATAAAACTGTACAGTTGCAAAGAATGGTAGACCAAAGGTCGGTTATTTCTGATGAAAAGAAGGTCGCTCTTCTCTATCTGGACCATGAGGAGGAAGATGATGATGATAATGATAATGATGGACAGTGGTTCTGAAAGGACTCTTTAATGAAGTCTACTTAGTAATTTGTTTATACGTATTTTTGATTATCCTTTTTTTAAAGAGAGGAAAAAAAGGGATGGGGAAACACTCAAACTATTTAGATTATTAATAGCGGACTGAGAAGTACTGAATCTAAGCCTCTACCTATTCAGCACACTTTTTACTTTATTGGAAATTTTATTTTTGGGAGAAATGCTATTAATGTTTTTCCTCAGAGACTTGTGTCCAATACTTTCAGATTTTTCCACCCATAGAGAGGAATTTGCTACTGGGGAATTCAATGGATTATATTTTTTGTTTGTTTTACAGCAGGTCAATTAGTAAGTGTGTGCTTGAATAGGACTTTTCCTTTTTTTTTTTTTTTTAAATACTGTATTGTACTTGGTTACTAAAATATTCAGCAACTCTATTTAAATCTCAAGCTACTAACCACAAATATAACAGAATGTAAGACTAATGAGAGTGGTAGGTAGCTGATTTTCAGTTCCATTTCTGTGTACTTATATGCAATACCTAATGAAAACATTTTAAGATACAGTTATGACAGCTATAAAAATAAATACAAGCATAATAAGCATAGCAAAATTGACAAAAATGATATTATTTGTATAGCTAGAATGCAGTGCAAAAAAGAAAGAGGTAACACTGAAGCAAGAATTTCTCACAGTATTCCTAATGAGAAATAGTGATTTTTATGGTTAGACAGTAGTACATTTAATATCTTTAAAAAGAAAACAAATTTTAAAAATAGGCTGGATAGTATTTCCGCTGAAGTAAGGAGAACTCTTCACAGCTTCAGTGGCTATGTACATTAATAATATCAACTTATTTTGCAATATATGGGTTACCTTAATACTAGGTATTGCTAAAGGTAAGTGTGAAGTGCTAAACGTTATTACATAATGCCTAATTTCTTAACACAGTGAAATTAGCTAGTATGTGTTCTGTTCTGAAGAAAACTTGTAAAAATGGCATTCATGACACTTAGATCATTGTGTGTCAAGTCATTTCCAGATAATCCTTTCTTTGTTTACGAATGAGAAGATGCCCTTTTCAATTACTAGCCCTGCAAACCCAACCTGAGGTTTGAATTTTCCTTCCCCCCTCCCCCCCCCTTCTTTTTTTCTGGTTGTAACATTTGCCTCGGGCCAAAGTTAGTTTCTACTTAAATCATCTGAAAATAAGCTAATTTCACTTGGATTGCACATTGGTTAAATGAAGTACATAATTTAACTTTACGATTATAATTCAGTGACTTCGAAGTCCAGATCAGAAGCCAGCACCACTAAACTGTACTAAACTGTGCAGTGCTAGAAGAAGCGAAAATAGCAGTCAAAATATTTTTGTCACTGGGGTAAGAAGATACCATACTGGACACATATGAGAAATAAGATACACAAATGAGAAGCTGCTATTTTTACATGCGCGCGCGCGCACACGCACACACACACACACATTGACTCACTCACTCTCTCACACCTCCTCTGCAGAGCAGACACACGCCTGTATCCGGATGGCTGTGTTGTGCCAGGCCGGTGGTCGCTGACTCAAAACTTTTTCCCTGTGGTTATGTAAGCATAGTTTTGTGTGTGCTAATCCATATTAGAATCCAGTTAAACTGTCTTAGTCTGGCACGGCTAGTCACTTTTCGGATTCCTTAGTATTAACAGAAGCTAGATCTTTCAAAACTGACTGCTACTTTATAATATGAATGTAAATGCAGAGCTAAAGAGAAGCTCCATGCTGACTGACATATCATGCTGTTTCAGATATGGGACAGTTGTAATTGTTGTGTGCCTTAGTTACTAAGTTTGAAACTGTAAAAAAGCTATTAATTTCCAAAGATTAACACATGAAGTTTGTCTGCACTGCAAATTTTTCTATACGTTTTCCTCATTTTATGTAAGTGTGAGTACCAGTGTACTCGGGATTGGATATTTTTCGATCATGTACTATGACATCATTTGTTGAAACTGGAAGTGTAACCAACAGCTGGAAAATGAATAGGAAACTGAGTTGTGTAGAAGCACTAGAGGCATGTATGCTAAGCTTATTTATACTGTTCACTGTGTAATGGATAGTATTTTTTCAAAATTATTCATATGTGCTCAAAAAAGATCTTGTGCTTCCATTTATAAATAGGGTGTTATTAATTGTAATACTTCTAATATCATCCTATACTTCTGTTTCCTTAGCTGACCCTATGATTTTAAAGATGGTAACATCTCTGATTCTTTTAATAATCGTGTATAAGCCAGAATTTTCCAGCTAGATGCCTAACTGCAAGCAATCCGATTCTGTACTTCAAGTATGAAATAACTGCATAAAGGAAGAAGTCAGGTCTGTAATAAGCAACAGAATTTAAAAAAAAAATCAGTGTTAGTTTTCTAGAAGTTTTATTCTAAGCTGAAACTTAAACATGCTCTGTAAAACAGATATAAGAATATCTGCAGAAAATGTATGTTGTAACCAACAAAAAGCTACTTGAAAGGTCAAACCCATTTATTGATACCTTGTGGAATCTTTGACAGACATGCTCCTTAGAAACAACTATACCAACACTCTGTTAGGTTTATCTTCACCTGCTCAGAGGATTATAATGTCAGATGAAGGAATAAACCAGTAAGGAGCAAGTGAATCATAAAACGTAGATGGCCTTATCATTGAAGGAGAAAAAAAAAAAATCAGTATTGTTTCCACTGAGGCAACAACAGCTCTTTAAAAATTCCTTTACACATCACTGTCAGATGTAGCAAATTATACCAAGATATTTCCATTTTGATTGTCTGGAGGTAAAAATTTGTTCTGTGTACTTTCTTTAATTCTATTTAAGATGAGAATTTTAATCAACTGTTGGAAAGTTAGTTTATTGTAGGGAACTGGAAATGTGCATTAGCGTAACATTTAAAAGATATGCACAGTTCCTCCGCATGAATACTTTCAGGCTGTGAAAACAAAGATATCTCATGTAAAAAGGGTTTACGTTTTAAAAATGTTTGTGTAAGCAGCCCATTTTCCATTTAGTTCTCATTAACCTGAGACATTTTGACATAATGATAGCTTTTGGATAATACTACCCTCAGGCAACAAAATGTAGTTAGGTGGACAATTGCATCCTGCAGGTCTAATGGTTGCATTTGCAGAATCAGGGCCATAGGTACATGCATTACTAGTAAGAGCAAATATAACCCTCTGTCTGATGTACTAACTCACCCTATATGATCACTTTCTGCATAAGTATTATAACCTGTGGCTGAAAGGATTGGTGATATAACCTTGGTCAGCATGCACTTCTGAAGCTTACCTATATAAGTTGTGCTTTTCATTAAATACAAATACGAACTTTACTGCTGAGTTTGGATTAAACAAAATGCTTTTAAAATATAATTAGTAATTTGGGGGGTAAAAACTATGTATTTATATGCTGATACAGATCAGAAGTGGGGCACTGTTTTCCAAATGTGTAAACCACTGGTCTAGAAAGCAAATAAGGCATAGAATATAAGGAAAGATGTGTGAGAGGCCTAGAACTCTGTATTGACTGATGTTTGTGAATAGCAGGTGTTTAAAAAGATGGTAAGAATGTTGAAACTGGGTTTGTTGATGTCAGCTGTGTGAAACTTTGCAGGCAGCTTGTGTTTTGGTCATTTGCAATGAAACTGCATTTTTGTGGTGGTATAAGCTTTGTGATTTTACACTTTTTCACTCTTGAGTATTAAACAATCAAAATCAATGCAGATGTTTCTCTTTCTTCCTGTCTGACGTTTTTAAGGCTGCATTGTCAAAGAAAAAGGACTTCATGTCTATAAATATCTTGCTCTAAGGCCTCTCAGACTGATGTGTTAATTTCGGTTCAAAGAATGAAAATAATTTTTCCTTCCAGCAGAGGCATACCTCTTTCCTGTTGATAATAGAAATGATGGCAAAACATAGCATATTCTTTATTGCAACTACACACAACATGGACAAGCAGTGGTTCTTGAGTTCAACAGCAGGTAGTGGGAGAGGCAGAGTATAAAACAACACAGAGGGTGGAAATCCTGGAGTTGCCAGCATCATAGTCTTCCTTGGATCCTGGCATTTGACCAAGGTAAGTCTTAACTTTTACCCTTTTCTAGCAAAGAAAACCTTTTTATGCACATTTAGACCTTTAATGGAAAAGGATATATATGGTTTTTTTAAATGGTACCTCTCTCTATGCTGTGAAGTTTATTTTTCTCTTTAACCACATACTGTATTTGTAATGAAGAAAATGTCATTAACCCAATTTTCTCTTGATTTAAGAAATGGGTCATAATGAATTTTTTGTGTGAAAGAGTGAGACTTTCTAAAGAGATCATCCATTTTTAATACACTGAGAAGAAACACATAGTTCTCCATTTCTTGCAAAACAGGGAAAAACAGTATCTGAAGCCTACTGACTAAATCTCAGCATATTCTGAAGATGGTTAAATGATCAGCAAAATAATTTCCACTGAAACTGGCCTCTGTCAGAATAACATGTTTTCAGCCTTCATCTACTAAGTTAAGTAGTATTGCTGTTTAAACTGTCAATGGTGAAGATCTGATTTCTCTGAAATGAAGCGTGTCTCTGAATAGTAAGGAACGGGACTCAGTGGGTTAGTGTTTAATACACTAAGATTTCTTTTCAGTTTCCTGGTTTTGACACACTTGTCAGTTGTGATAACGTTTTAAAGATGCAATGAAAATATGGGGGTCCCTCAATGTTAAATTCTAGAAAGGAGTGGTTAAAATTAAATGGGGGGGAAAAAAGGGTGTTTATTCATACTCCAAACTTAAATAGCTTCAAAGGTAAAACTTTTTTCCTGATGTATCCTTGCAACCACATGTGAGCAAAATAACAAGCAACGTGCCCAACAAACAAGGAAGTTTTTCTTCAGCTAGGAAAACTCTGGTTTTTGAAAGATGTTATCACAAACCAGTAGTATTGGTTTTGGTTTTCATTTCCAAATCACAATGTGAAGTTGGTGTGGCAGGAATTTACAGCTGGAATCAAGCCTACTTTGTTTATCCACAGACCCTTTTTTCAGGTGACAAAGTTAAGAGATGCTGAACCCTAATACTCGGTAGGATTTGCTTCAGGTTTTATAGACCTGATAGGAAAAACAATATACTTCAACCAAAAATGCCTCCGACGGGCTAAAATTTCTACTTTCCTTTTACTTTTGTGATTCATTCTACAGTAAAAAAATTATCTTGAATAGACTAGAAAACTAAAATCTAGATGTATACAAGAAGTTAGTAAGTTGATTTGTAATCCAAAAGCAGATATGGCTGCCTGAATTTTATCTTTATTTTACTTCTTTTGTACTGAATTTCAGTGATTTTTCTTTTTTTACTAAAGGAAATAAAAAGTGTGTAAGAAATATGCTCACCTGTATTAATTTTATTCCTGTACTCATCTATGTAACCAATCTATCCCCAAGGAAATTTTTTTTTCCCAGTATTTCCTGCAAAGAAGGGACACTGGGTCTTCATGATGGATAGGAGAAATGGAACAAATTGATTAATCTTTGTTAAGGATGAGAAGCCTGTCATACTGGCCTTGTTTCCTGATAGTAATACTGTGCTTTGGGACAATAGTCAGGAGATTCATGGTGGGTTGATGTTTCAGTGCGTTGGTCTATCGTATTTGATCATTGTCTGCTTTTTTCTGGCCCTGAAAAACAGGCAGGGAGATACAGGTTATAGTTTATTATCAGGTCAACATTGTTTGCCATTTTAATTTTGTGTTGCAGAGAGTATATGCCTGCAAGATACCCAGCTATTTCATACAACTCTATAAAAAGGCAAATTCTCCTCATAATTGGCAAGTGCTGCTTTCGGTTGGTTGATTTTTCTCATAATTTTGGCTTTACTTTCACTTAATGTCATTGCATCATCCTGTGAAAACAAAGAGATGCTGTATGACCACCTCTGTCACTATTTGCTATTATCACTTAAGCAGAGGAGTTAACCAAGAGAATTACTGATTTTCTTCCTATGAGTTAGGAATAAAATTGAAGGTGAACATATTCTCTTCTTATTTTTCACTTGCTGCTTTGATTAATCAAGAGGGGTGATGGTGGCACATAATCAAATCTCTTCAGGCAATGGCTGTTAAATCGGTGACACATCTGACATTTAGCGGAGGAAAAAGTCTGAAGAGTTAGCGATCTGAACTGCTGCCCTGGGAACTTTCCAACAGTTTGACTCATCTGCCTTTTCCATCAAGCAGTTGTGTGACTCTTGTGCCTAAATATCTCTGAGAAGTGCAAAGGAACATAAATTCTAACAAGATGCAAAAAGATGCTCAGCCAAGAAGAGATCTAATTAAAAACTCGCTCTGAATATGTCAGCAGTTTCTTGAACTGCTATCAATCCTTTTTTTATTGTGGGTGCCAAATGAGATTTGTAACTGAAGGTAGTACAACATATAATTCAACGATATACATTACTTAGATTCTCACTGGAGTAAACTGATAAAAAGAAAACTCAAATACATGTATTTTCCACTAGTGTATACAGATGTATTGAAAAATGGTGTTACTCTGAGTAATACAGTTAGCCCTGTGACAGACTAAATAAGGATAAGGTTAATTTCATTAAACCTCTCAGCTTTCATAAAAACATTGCCTCTGGAGCTGTGCATTGAGGGGGGAGCGTGATTAAGATAACTTTGTATTTGCTATCATATTACTGGGAAGTAAAGTATGTTTATTGTAGATGGCTTTGACTATACAGTGGTGAACATTTATATAAATACTGGTTGTTACTTAGCTATCATTGATAGTGCAGACCAGGTTCTGTTCAGCAAGGGGTTTTGGTGAGAGCTTGGCCGAAGGCTTATATATTTTGTTCCAGGCAAAGGAAACTGCTCTTACAGCAGTGCCCTAGAAATTTGCATTAGGATTTTTTTAAAGAAATTACTCTAAAATCCTTAGATTACCAACCAAAGCCAGAAAAGAACATCCTGAAAATGAGTAAGTTACTGAAAATGACTAAGTTACAATATTACTTACTACCATGTTTTTGTTTTTTCCTTTGTACCCATAAGCTGATGGTTTTCTATTCCCTCATTTATCATGGCATTTTTATGCAAGCCAAAGAATGTTTAGAGGGAATGAATAATTTGGGGTCACAATATTAGTCCTTAGGGAGTTGGGGGTGAGAAAGAGTTTCGAGGCTTAATGTTTTAAGACTGTATTTACCACATCTGAAAGTAAAGATTGTAGAAAAAAATATACCTTTCCAGATTAACTCAAGCACTTAGAAAAGAAAACAAATGTTTTCAGGTACATGGTTCTTTCCTGTTCTTGGGAGACTGATAAGATTATTTATTCTTACTTATGTGATACTTTCCTGTAAATGCAGCATGTGCTGGATATTATACCCATAGACAAAGATAGAATCATAGAATAGTTTGGGTTGGAAGGGACCCCTAAAGGTCATCTAGTCCAACCCCCCTGCCATAGGCAGGGACATCTTCAACTAGATCAGGTTGCTCAGAGCCCCGTCCAACCTGACCTTGAATGTTTCCAGGCATGGGGCATCCACCACCTCTCTGGGCAACCTGGGCCAGTGTTTCACCATCCTCAGCGTAAAACATTTCTTCCTTATATGTAGTCTAAATCTACCCCCCTTTAGTTTAAAGCCATTCCCCCTTGTCCTGTCACAAAAGGCCCTGCTAAAAAGTTTGCTGCCATCTTCTTTATAAGCCCCCTTGAAGTACTGAAAGGCTGCAATAAGGTCTCCTCGAAGCCTTCTCTTCTCCAGGCTGAACAACCCCAACGCTCTCAGCCTTTCCTCACAGGAGAGGTGTTCCATCCCCCTGATCATTTTTGTGACCCTCCTCTGGACCTGCTCCAACAGGTCCGTGTCTTTCT